ATATATTAATGTATTCTATGCAATGACCCTTTGTTGTATTGAAAATAAATGATAGAATGATCAGAACAGTAATTTGGTCCCATAACTGCTAATTAGACTGGTACATTTAAAATTAACACCTTGTGCTGAGCCATGGTCATGAGAATAGTATAATTTAAAGGCATATGAACAATGCCAGGAAAAGCATGCCAAACTTGAGAGAGCCCAGCTAAATTTATTCCCTTCCTAAACTTGTGAATCCCCTTTATTTTCAGCATCACAATAATTTGCCGGTCACCCCCTGTGCCTCTCCCCTCACCTTGGCAGGGGCAACCCTGATACATGTAATGCCATTTAGTGTGATTGATGGCTTCTGGTACGTACTAGGTGATCATTCTGGAACAATAGAGATAATATATCTCACTATCACCAAACATTGCCCTTTAAAATATTGTTTTGAAGCTTCAAGAGCTTCCCAATTCCAAAATGATGCACATACAGGGATGGATTTGGATATGGGAGGGATCTAATTACGTGCCGGTATTGATGTCGGGTGTGAGCATCAACCAAGGCATGGTGTGTAATCATACAGATAGCAGTGTTTTGGGGAAACAGCACCTAACAAGTAACCGGCCAAGTAACCGGCAGGTGCCAGGAATATAGCTGCTAGTAAGGGTTGCAGGATCCTAGACAGAGTCCCTTAGACTGTAAGAATTTCAGGGAGAACTGCAAAATATTATCAAGCATCTAGATTCAATTTGCATTTCCAAACAAATTAAGACACAACCTCCATCCCCCCCCCCTACACACACACTATATAATGGCTGAATGGCATATTGAGTGTTTATATGTGAACAGCCAAAACAGGATCATCCATGTTGACATATTTAAAACAGTTCAAATATAATACATTTTGTAAAATTGTGATATTTATACTACGACAAGTATACCTATACCAACAGTATTTATTATAAATATCAACACACAGTCACACACAGACTCGCTCATTTAAATCTACATCTATAAACACAGTACACAGATCCCAAACATTCCCTTGAGAAATTACTGAAATAGCTGACAAACCTTTTAATTTCGACGGCTTGAGGCTCAGTGAGTTTGAGTGAACCACCAAAGATCGTAAAATATTTCCATACAATGCGACATACAATGTTCCATTAATACTCCCGCCATTATATAACAATTCGACCATAAAATTTATCACTGACTGTTCTGATTGCGGGCGAAATGCATCAGTCAAAAGCGCATTATTTTGATCGCGGGCTAAACGCATCAGTCCGCATCCATTTCCCAACGTTACGTAGGCATGAAAACAATGGTTTTCGTGACGTGTCGTTGGGAAAACTCGGCCAAAAGACTCAGGACCGATGCGCCACTGATGCACTTTTCTCCCCAACGTGACGTAGTGATGCACTGCCGGCCCCAACGCCACGTAGTGATGCATACACTGAGCTGTAATAATAGTGGATGCATCAAACTAAACACCGACATATGTGGCGATATAAAGTCGCGACACAAAATCGTACAACTTGATAAGTGCGAAATTTAATATGCGTTTACGTTTTTCATAATATTTTGCGAAATATAGCTTTGTTTACATTCATTCCTGTGAAAATATATTGTTTTAAAGGACTTTGGATCAAAGACAACCAATATTTAAATATATTTTAATAAAATGTTGACAATTCTCGTTCGTGTGAAAATTTTGACTGATGCATTCGCATCAGTTGCATCAGTCTGGATCCGCGCCTGGGTTTGAACAACTGCTTCAGCATCAGAATGTGAATATCTATTTTGCTTTTGGGCAGCTCTTCCAGACAGCAAGATGTGGAGCTTGGAAACGTCCTGATGGCTGCCATATATTTTACTAATGAGTGAGCGATAATATGGACATATGTATGGATATTTTGGTGATTTTCTCATGCTATATTAAACGATAGTCCAAATTTTTATATTCTGGCTGATCTGTGTGTATTTTCAAACATTTGGTAAAGATTTCAATGGAATCTAATTGGGGGAAATCCGTGAATATGCTTATTTCTTCGACACCTTTCCGCAAGTTGTTTACATTGGATTCACGACAACGAAACGCCGAAAACAGGGCTTTTATGTCTCTGTAGGTTTAAACAAAACAACATTTCAAAAGAATCCTGTTTAAAAATATGACAACAAAGTCATCGGGAAAGCAGAAAGACATCCAGGTGCGAGAGTGTAACCTTGATACCAATGTCAATCTCACCTTTTATATATGACATACTATTAGATATAAGAGATAATAAACTTGTAGAAGTAAGCAAATCCAAAGGGTATATAATATGGAGAGATATTCAGATATTATTGTTTATATTCCATGTTCTCATTGGCACTCCCACTGCAATAGCCAACCAAGAGCAAAACAAGCAGAAAAACAGCATCTACAATGCTGTTCAATAATCTTAAAAACCTGCCTGAAGTATTTGATAATTTTTTGTGACTAGCAATCAAATTCATCAAAATAGAACAAGAAACTCATCAAAACTTCACAAGTGGTATAAAAGAACAAATTATGTAAAACATACTCTCTCTAATAATGGAGTTGATGTATGGAACTTCACTAGAATAAAAAATTGATAAAAGCATTCTATTTACATATTATCCTGTATCTTGCAACATAAATCTACAGTGATGTTTTATCTTATAATTACTCTGTGTACTATAAGTACCGGAGTATTAAAATGCCAGATCTTTTTTCTTAGGCGACACAAGTGTGCATTTCCACAGGTGCACCGTACGCAACGCACTACAAAAATACAAAATATCTAAAAATAGCCGCCATTCGTAGTGGATCGGAGCGATCGTTGTGTTTACAATGTATTTAGTTCTATTTACAGTAAATATAATCAAATGGAGGGGTTCTCATACACTCGTTTTTATACAGTGACCACAGTTCATATAAATACAAATCGAAATTCGAGACTTTCTCGCGTGTTTAGTAGCGGTTGCCGTTATTGCAAAGCTAATTCTGATCGACAACTGGCTTGGTTCGTTACTGATATTTGCCCGGTATTTTTTAATTTTGTCAACACTGTACGTAGTTAAATTGTGTTAACACTCGTCACTCGTGTTCTTTAAGTCTCCCTTTGTGCCCCGTGGCCAAAATTGAAGTACAAACAATGCACAAATCTATTCGACATATGACATATCTGAAAGTCTTCGATTTGCGAGGCAATTTATATCGCAAACCACAACAATATTGGCAATATTGTCTACCACGCTTGAATTAGACAAAAGCGCATATAAAATTAATATATATAACTGTCATAACTAGATAGCTTTACCCAACACTATTACGTCTGTTACACAGTTTAATGTTTTATTTATAGAGTATTAAAAATCGGTCTCGACAGCTGCATTGTCTTGGTCTTAAAGTAAAATCATTACTAGGATGCTTAAAAACAATCTAAACGTTTGATAATAACAAACTTACAGAAGCCTTACAAATTAAAACAATCAATCTGTATAAACAAAATATCAACATAACTTAATTATGAGTTATGGTGCCAGTTATGAACTTACTACCATGCATTGAAAAAGTGTTGACAATTAACTATATGACACGACTAACAATATATTACTTTTTAAATAATTTTCTTTGCGTGTTTGATAAATGTGGTGTGTTTACGTTAGCTATTTTTAGTAATTCAGTTTCAGGAGTTCTTCTTGAGGGTCGAGGGTGGGAAGCGAGGGTCGAAAAATCATATATAAAAAGTCGAGGGTCATATATAAAAAGTCCGGGGGTCGTATTTCTAAAATATTTTATGATTTTTATTGTCGAGGGTAGAAATTTGCGGGCATTCCCTATAGATAAATTTGCAAATGGGGCAAGCACAATAGCGAAAACAATACTTTGAAGATGGCGTCGCGAACCCGGAAAAGGCGTATGGCAATGGAAAGGTGTATAAACAAGTCCTGATTACTCTGATTCAATAGACCATATAGTGAATAGACTGTACAATAATTTGCGACATTCAATCCGAGATGACGCAGATAATGCACCATGCCGTTTGAAACTATCTCGACTGTAGCTTTTGATCGGCATGTCTATTTTTATGTAGTAATATTTGTCATATAAAAAGTAATCGCATATAAAAAAAAAATAATTGCATATAAAAATAAGAGCTAAAAATTAAAAGTAAAGTAAGTGAACACGAACTTAAATTATTATTTTGTTAAATTATTAAAATGTACCCTCAAGCTTTTCACCCTCGAATTTCTACCCTCGACAATAAAAAACCCCATAAAATATCTGTAAAATACAGCCTCCGACTTATTATATACGACTCGAAAAAACACTCCTACGCATGTTTTAAATAGAGCTTTTAATAAAGAACTAGATAGCTTTTATTATAATCAGTGTCACAATGTCCTTTTATTTTTATGTTATCAAATATGATCATTGCATATGTTTTTAGTCACCCGGTCAAGTGGTACACTGTAGTTCTCCCACTTTTCCAACTTTAATATGCTACTGAATATCATGCATTAAAGATACCTTCATTGCCGTATATAAGCATACGTTAAAGTAGCTTTGCGCCGTTAGTTAAGGCCTTGTACCCGGAGTGAATGCCTGAGTAGGCGTCTTGTTGTGTTGTAGTTAATTTCCACTTTATCATTCCTCTATTACTCTGAAAATTCTCTCTATGATTTGACTGTAAAATAAAATAAAATATTATAAATCTAATAGTTAACTATAAACCTTTACTATAGGGGCCTAAAGCAAAAAGCCTGACAAAGTATCCAGCAGGCCTTTAGCCCAAATTAATATAAGGAAAAATATGTAAATATTGTCTATGGAACTGTACATAGGGGATAAAATTAAAACTAAATAAATAAATGATAAAGAGACTCTTTCATTGGTCAAATTCTTTCCTCCATGTTTAATCGAGGCTAGGATTTGGGGACCTTTCTCAATGTATGAACAACCAAAATACCCAAACCATTATTTAATATATTAGCCTTCCTTACCATTCCCTAGTCTTCCCTACACCTCCTTAGTTTTCCTTGACCTTCCTTACCTTTCCCTAGTCTTCCCTACACACCCTTAGCCTTCCTTACCCCTCCCTAGTCTTCCCTACACCCCCTTAGCTTTCCTTGGCCTTCCTTACCTTTCCCTAGTCTTCCCTACACCCCCTTAGCTTTCCTTGGCCTTCCTTACCCCTCCCTAGTCTTCCCTACACTTTCGTAGCCTTCCTTGGTGTTCCCTGGCCTTTGTTAGCCTTCCTTGGCCTTCCATGGCCTTCCTTAGCTCTCCCTAGCCCTCCATGGCCTTCCTTAGCTTTCCCTAGCCTTCCTTAGCCTTCTTTGGCCTTCCTTAGCCTTCCTTAGCCTTCCTTAACATTCCTTAGCCTTCCTTGGCTTTTGAGGCTTCCTTGGCTTGACGAGGGTGTTTAGAACGCAACAATTTCGCATTTGGACTTAGAGAATTTTTACAGTAAAGTTACTCCAAAGTTGGCGGGTGTTTTTAGCTCGATGTATGAACAATCAAAATACCCAAACCATTATTTAATATATTAGCTTTCCTTGGCCTTCCTTACACTTCCCTAGTCTTCCCTACACTCCCTTCGCCTTCCTTACCCATCCCTAGTCTTCCCTACACTGTCTTAGCCTTCCTTGGCGTTCCCTGGCCTTCCGTAGCCTTCCCTAGTCTTCCTTAGCCTTCCCTAGCCTTCCTGGCAGATTATAATGAGTACTTGTAAATAAACATATTGGCTTCATCGCAACTGATAACCAATCTCAAAATAAAAAAGCACACCAATGCAAGGGCAAAGTTTACAAACCAGAATCAGAAAATTGATCATGTGCAAATTTAAAAAGCATAAGGAAAGTCAAGAAAAGGTAAGAAGGCTAGGGCTAAGGAATGCCAAGGATGGCTAAGGAACGATAAGGAAGGCCAAGAAAGGCTAAGGAAGGCTAGCAACTAATGATCTATTTCAAAAGCATCCTGCCCAAGGGTAGAATTTACAAACCATGTGCAAATTAAACCTGTTTGCAAAAGACTGAATATGTATTATAAATACAAAAATATAGCAGCATAAATTTAGTAAATAAGGAGTATTCAACACAAGCATTTAAACTTATAAGTATACAACAAGCATAGTACATAGCGAAGCCAGCATGTGTGACTTTTTGCGGATACAACCCTTTTTGCATTTGCAGCTAACAAATTCTACAATACTGCCCGGAGCAGGCCCTTGTGTCCCCCATGTAATTTTGTGACATTTAAAATGAATGCACAACTGTAATGTTTCGTATAGTTAAATTATGACAGAACATTTTTGGCGGTAATTGAACATATTTTGAACGAATTTTCTTCATAGTTTTTAAATTAAAGCTAAAAATAATGTGTGAATACATGGTTTTTCCATGGTTTTTCCACAATTATACTTCTTTGCCCACACAGAGAATGGCTATTGACATTTGTTGTTAACACTTGACAACACTTGTTAACACTCCCTCTGTTTGACAACCGTGGTTTGATGTTACTGTAAGTATAAATTTTCGGCTGTTCGAATGGCACAATAACATGATTCAGCAGAGACATTCAGGATGGAGAACATGTCCGATGAACCAGCTGGTCTAAGCGAATCTCTCTGTAGCTCTGAAGCTAGTTTTTCTGAAAGCAATTCAGAAATGTCTTCAGCTAAAGATTCAATGATAGAAAAAGGGTACCAAAAGTATTTTGAAAGTGATGGTGAGATTGGATATATGATATGAGCACAAGTTTCATGTTATATTATCTAGCTTTAGTCTTTACAAACACATTAGTCATATTAAGGTTACATCATTTGATAAAACATTATTTTATAATCATTCATCATTCAGGGATGCATATTATCAAACATGGAGATATAGGTCAACCGAAAATGGAATTTTAAACATGATCAACTCAGGCAAACTGTGGACAACACCACCTGCCAAGGAACAATATCTCCGAAAATATTTAAAAGAGCTATGTGATGAATACCAATGTGAAGAAAATGGCTTGTATGGTATTTCCAGTTCAGGTATCGGTTGGTATATAAACTTACATTGATTCAGTACACTGTATCATGCAGATGCAACAATTTGTTGATGGAAACCAAATAATTGTCTCGTTTTTACGATTATTTAATAATAATAATAATCTTTATTTAAACTGTGAGACCCATTCAGCTAATTAATGCTGGTCTTACCCAGGTGAACAGTATTTACAGTTATGGAATACTTACATATATATATATGTTTATATACAATATTACAATAATCAGTAAAAATTACAAACTACACCTATGTGTAGAATTGTCTAATTCTAAAAAATGTTTAAAAGCATTGTTTTTAAAGCTGCCGAGAACTTTAATATCTCATATAACATAGTTTGCCCTAGTGAGGTGTTTACTCTAGGTATATCTGTCAAAGTTTGGTCACAGAGGGATTTTTCTCTTAATGAGCTTCTTAAGACCAGATAATTGTTAAGATACTTAGGAATGTCCATATTATTGACAATTTTAAAAACTAGATGCATGTGACGCATGGTTTGTTATAAATGCATGTGACGCAAGGTTTGTTATATACATGCTACGGGTGGGGGTGTGACACCCCCCACCCCCAGCAATTCTATTCCAAGCTTCAGTTGGCAGGACTGCTATTTCAGTCGGCAGACAAAAATATTTTTGATGAATAAAGCTACCACCGATATGATTTTCACCTGTTATATAAGAAACCGAAATTTTGGTTACACGAAATTTACTCATAATCATTATAATCGGTTAGTAAAACAAGCCCAGATTGACAGTCAAACCACATAGCAATACAAAGTATATGTAGCATGTTTGATAGGTACAACCGCTGAACACAATATATTGCTGCCAAAACCTCAATTATCAAATATGGTGATTTAGAATACATACTGGATTTGTATTGGAGTGACATCAATTTAAGGTGTTTTCCAGTCTTGTCTGCTATTACAACTTTTCATATATGAAGTTTTTGTTTAATTATGTTATATTATCAGAATTTTAAGTGCCAAATTCACCTCAAGTAAAATTTGATGTCGCTCCGATGCGAATCCGGTATCCTGTAACTGGGGCCTAGGAGTCGTCTATTAAGAAACGTTTTAATAGCAACTAGTAAATTTGATTGCATTTCCGGGGTTTTGGGAGGTCTCAGATTTCAAAATTTCCGGGGGGTAGCATTCTGGACCCCCCTGAGAAACTCACACCTTCAACATTCGCTATAGCCCCCTTAATCCAAAAATGGCTCTGTAGTTGACCTCCATCGGAAATTCCACAAGCTTCCATGGCTAGCAGGTGGTCGGTGCAAGCTTGTTGGTCAGTCGGTTAAAATGACCTTACACCCCCCTGAAAAATTTCCTGGGGACGGCCCTGTATACACGCATATATGCTTATCACTTATTTACTGAGACCAAGGGTGAGGGAAACCATGTGTTTTGTGGACCCAAGACCGCCATTGCTCAAGGGGCCACAAAACACACAGCTTTCCCAACGTCTCGGTAAATAAGTGTTTTGTTATATAAGTGTCAAAGTTTCAGGTCACCCTTGAAAATGGTGTTGCTATGTGGCTAAACAAGGATGAATCACCTTACCATAGCCTTGGAGGTTGTGATATTGTTTTAACCTATTTTGATACAAAAGGTATTATTAAATTTCTAAAATTTTAATTGACAAAGTTGTTAAAAAATACACAATTAACAATGAACAATGTGATGTTTATTATTTATCTAGGTTTCGACTATATATTTAATGCACCATTCCTCTAGCTACATCTTTTTCGAAGCTACCGTTGTTGTGTATATTTTGTTAAAATACTTAATTAATAGTGTGTGAACATAGAGAAGTTTGTTTACCGAGCGAATGTTTGGCAATATAAATTATTTCTTGTCGTCTCATTATGATATAATTATCACTCATTTACTGAGAGCGAGGGAAACAGTATATTTTTTGTTTTGATATATAGTATATGGTATAAGTGTCAAAGTATGAATAATTCACCAGTTATTGGAGTGAACTTTGAAACCAAAACGAAATAAGTGGAGCGCTGTAAATGTTTAATAAAAAAGTTACTATATAACTTTAATACAGTTACGTTATATAACAGTAACTATATAACAATCAACCTTGTAACCTTGTTATATAGTTCATGTCAAAGTTCAATTTCTATGTTTGCTGTTTGGTCAACCGGCCCACAATGAAACAATTATTGACCGTTCAATAAGGCCAAATAAAAAAAACTTGGTTAGCGTCAATGTAAGTCGCCAATGTAAATCTCTTCGTTTTACAGCTTAAAACAGTTTAATATTTGAAAATTTTCTCATGTTCAGACCTTCGCGCTATATATTGATCGATAGGAGGGTGTAGGCTTGGGTATACAAGGTTCTTAAAGCAAAATGGCGGCCTTTGCAACATCAGTACAAAAAATATCACCAATATGGTGGGAAAACCACCCCCATCCCCCCAAAAAATACTATTAAAAAATTATAAAACGAGTAAAAATTTTTTAAAAACCCACCCGCCCGCCTCTGAAAATTTGTGAGAGTGTGACGCTAACCAAGTATTTTTTTTATTTGGCCTAATATTATGGGTGCAGTGCACATATGCATCAACCGTGAAGTTCCAAAGTTCATTTTATTAACCATTTATGGCGTTCCATTTATCCTGTTTTGGTTTCAAATTAAGTTCACTCCAATAACCATACTTTGACACTTATATACCATATAACAAAACACTTATTTACTCAACCTTGGGAAAGCAGTGTATTTTGTGGGCCCACAACCATCGTTGTTGCCCCCGGGCAACAACGGGGGTCTTGGGTCTACAAAATACACTGTTTCCCTCAGCCTCAGTAAATAAGTGATAATGATATCCGTTATACATCAACTTCTCAAATATTTGAACATATTTTATTTGTATTTCAGTAATAAATTATCACTTCCTGCAATATTTAGCAACATCGCCTGGACATCCGATAATATACTAAAATGCATGTTACATCTTCTCAAATGATTTGCCCAAATAGTTGTCTATGCACCATATGGCTATGGTGAAAGTATATTTTCACAATGTATATATTATCAAAAATTGCAGCTGATATTTTCTTTGTTTTTAATTATCAGCATAGTTAAGTAAATGTGATATTTAAAAATGATTGAGATTGTGAAAAATACAGATGTCATAATTATAGCCTGACAATTTTCATTTAATAGACAATTTGGATCAGGGTGCCAGCCTGTGGCAAATGGTGGAAATCCAAAAAATATGTTGGTGTAAATTTTCGCTCCAATTTACTTCTGCTTGGCGGACTTGGACTGGCTGTGCATTATGAACAGTTGTCCACTATGTACATTGATCATGGCATATTGTCATCCACTGCAGTGAAAGCAATGATGACAAGATGAAAACAAGACTGGAGGTAAATATAGATATGTAATACAGCTATTTTAATTCAGTATTTTACCATTGTTTTTCAAGTCATACATTTTACCGTTTTAGATTGCTCACATGTGAGTGCCATGGCCACATTAAGTTGTCCGAGCTTGCCATTCTGGCGGGACGATGTTGTAGATATGTCTGTACTAGAAAAGGTTACTGTTGATGCTTTCAATGAGGTAAGGAATAAATTACTACTAGAAATACATGCATGCAGTAACCCCTCGCCAATATTTCCATATATTAAACATGAAGTATTCAGAAATGACCAGCACTGAACGCAGGCTCGCGCTCAAGTGTTGCCATGACAACACAATATTCTTAAATTTTTATTTTCATATATTTTGTACAAAACTGCGAAATAGTTGAAAGATTCGTAATTTTAACTATACAACAATAAATTTCCGAAATATATACTGTAGGTATATTATTTTGCATTTTGTGAGCTTTGATCTAATGTAAAATTTAACTTGAAACGCTTCGTAAAATGTTTTGAAATGTTCATTCAAGTAAACTACATTTTGCCGATAAACTGTTTTTACTTAACACGATAAGATAAAACATGATAAGTTTAATACAAATAAAACAAAATTAATTGTTAGGTAATTTCAGTTCAGTCTTCAAATCAATTTGTTCGCCTTTACATTATTTTAAGATTTTTTCTCAAATTAAACGGTAATTTATGAAACTTAGAGCTTCTATAGTTCATATTTTTTATTACGTAAAAAGTTAAAGCAACAAAATTCGGCGTAAACATTTTAAAAATATTCAAAGCAAACTTGTCGTATATTTCCCGATTTCCCGATAAACCAATTCTTCTCATTTCTTCAAACAAAATTGCTTCAAGCTTGTTGTACCGGGTGGCCCAAAAAAAAGTACTCCTGTTTGATTCGTAATAACATCTAAACAAGTATAGCTTTTAAAGAGAAATAACTTGCATCAAATAGAGGAAGGACTAACTTAGACTTTGATATATTACAGTTGTATTTCACTTAAAAATTCACGGAGATATTAATCTTTAAATTCGGGAGGATATTTCTGGATGTGTCTGAAATATGCAAAAATCGGCGTATCAAATATTAATCAAGATTTGCCCGACTGAAACATGCACTATTACCAGTAAATAAATGACACTTGACAAATTGTTTATTATGAAACAAAGTATTATTACATCTATTAATCCTGCTCTAACCGAGAAATAATCAACTTTGTTTTGAACCCATGAAAAACATAAAAAAATAGGTTATTTAAGAAAAATTGAAGCGCCTGCCTTGCATGGTCTTTCAGTACCTTAAGTTTGCAAAGACCTATTAAATACTTACATAATTTCGAACGTTCATATTTCAGGAAACAATAAGTTAAGACTTACATGTAAGATGTTTAAATCTACGCCATATCCCTTACAAACCCTAACGACAATTCGCTGAAATACAATTTACCCTGATATGTCATTAAGCAAACAAACGCTGGAGTGAAAATTTGATACGCCGATTTTCGCTAATTTTAGACACATCCCAAAATATGCTCCCGATTTTTAACATTAATATCTCCGTGAATTTTTAAGTAAAATACAACTGTAACATATCAAAATCTAAGTTAGTCCTTCCTCTATTTAATGCAAGTTATTTCTGTTTGATAGCTTTACTTGTTTAGAAGTTATTATAAATCAAACAGGAGTACTTTTTTTTGGGCCACCCGGTATATGAAATGATTTTCCTAATGATGTCTTTTAAAATTGAAATCTTGCTTGCCATATTTTTGAGATAAGTCAAAGTGAGGATGACCACCCACTCAAGATCGTCGCTTGTTGCTTAGCACCCACGATGATTGATGAACTTTAGACTTCACTAATGCTTTTGTTTCCCCGGGTGTAAATAGCCGGGGGGAATTAGTACCCTCGCACAGTGCTTCACACCGTCGGCTTGGGGATTACCAAATTCATTTCATACAATCCAGCAGTATAATAAATTTTTATGACTTTAAATATGGATGAAAAATTAAAACTTTGATCCATATAACCTTTCAGTCCAAACAGAAAAAGAATAGAGGGAAGGAAAGTTGTGCCACCCCAAGCACAGTTCCAATTTGCACAATGAATCCATCGACAATTGGAAGAGTGCTGGTAAATGATAAGGAAAGGATGTTGCGGTAAATAACACTGTCATTGCATGATTCGAAACTATACTTAGTGAAGTGGTTTTTGATATTAGTCTTCTGCACATATAGTTAGTAACATTTTGTATTTTTTGGTCGTTTAGCATATTCTCTAGGTTTGTCGTTATACCGTATTACAAACCAAAGAAGGGTCCCTTAAGTATAGCTTGGCCCTTCAAGCGGATTATGAAAGAAGTAATGGCACAAATGATCCGTAGTGCTGGCATCATACTGCAGCTCAGGGACGGTATTACTGGGTGTCAAGAAGACAAACTGTTCACTGAGGTAGTTCATTTTACAGAAGAACTAACAAGAGATCTGCAGCCAAGAAATCAAACAAACTATGCTTTGCTATTGTATAGTACGATAAAGGTAAGACTTTATATATGAACTTGTCAGATATACTCTCGGGGGTGATGTCTGTTAACTTATTTAGTGCTTTGTATTTCTATATAGATCGTTTACACACAATGTCACAACTGAATGGCCACATGCTTAAGGTGGTTCTACCCCTTTCAACCTTTTTTTAATTTTAAAGATATTAATGGGCAAATATAATTTTTTGGAAGGGTGAGGTGAAGGAAAATGAATATTGCAAAATTTTTTTGACAAAATTGCTTAGCGTCATAAACACCATAACCTAAGAACCAATTATCAAAATGTAATGAGTGATATATTTTTAAAAAGCTTAGAACCTAAACTAGTGCCAACACTCTTCAATTTTCTTCAAAATTCTTGAAATGTTCAATTTTTTAATCATTGCAACTTTTAATCGAGTACTTTATGATGTAATTTATGAATAATTCATCAATGATGAAAAATAAATAAATATTTCATCAAAGTAACCATAAATTCTGAAAGTACAATATTTAAAATATATATTAAAACACACTAAACCAAAATTTGGAAAAAAAATTGTTAAATGACTTAACAAAGGGGTAGAATATTTGTCAAATTTCTTTGCTTATCTGCATATCATTGAGCAAAATTTCAACCTTGTGAAATACACCTGTTCAAAAGCCAACATGAACTTCCTTGTAGTTTTGTATAGCATGAATAATTAGCATTAATTGGTGAATAATTCATCAATGATGAAAAATATTGAAATTTGGAGAGCGTCAGCCACTAGATCATGTTATAGTAACTATAGTAACTATGCCAAATATCAATCTTCTACATTATACTGTATATTTACAAAATTACAGTGTCACAAAAATCGCTGGCACAGGTCAAATTGCCAAAAAGAGAAAATCCACTTTAAAAGTTTTGTTTACTGTTAATGTACTTTATAAATCTTCAGAAGCCCCCTGCTTCATACATTTGAAAAGCCGGTGTAAAGTAGAAAATATTTCATTATATGACTACCTTTAAATGGTGTAAACTATTGGCCGGTCACATTTTGGTGAATTTGCTTATTTGTAAAGCTATAGTATAACTGAGATATTTTGTTTTGTGTGGTGTTATTTTAGCAATATTAATGTTTACTACAATCTTTTTCCTGAAACAAATTAGAAAATCTGCCAAAATATGACGAGCCACCTGACCAGCCAATGCCAAAGTCTCAAGTCAAGCAAGGCAGGAGTGAAACATTGAGTGTCTTGGTATGAGATTAGTGCATACATTGGAACCTTGAGTTCATGATAGATTTGAATATGCTGATGCCATGGTCCTAGCCAGTGCATGTTTGAGAGGTATTCCCCCCTAAAGTAAAGATAATTATTCCTACTCTTGGTGGTCCTTAAGAAGTCCATAGAAGGAGTTTGTGGCAAGTTTATGATGTCTTCTAGTCCATCAACATCCTCATCCTTCATGTGAGCTTTGTGTTGCTCAAGTAGTTCTGATGTATTGTCGATAACCTTAGATAAAAAAGAGAAGGTTTACAGGCTTAATAGCACCCACAGTATTAAAAACAATTGGTGTTAAACTGTTGTCACAGTGGTCCCTGCCTTTTTGTGTTAATGTGTGTTGAGGTGTTGTTATGATTATGTATTACAGTAAAAATAAATCAATAAAAACCTTGTTAGTGGTGGCATCGGTTAGTCGGTTGATTTCTTGTGTCTTTAAAGTAAATAGAGCAAAATGTCTCAAAGAAAATTCCTCAGCTGTCTTTTCCTTGATGCTGGTAGATCTTTCGTTCGGTGGGTCACGTTCAGGAATATTTGTGGGGATATCAGTGTTGTCGTTCAAATGAAAGTCGAATCTTTCATTCTGATGTTTACGTCTAACATGTGATGGTAGAGACGGCATAACAGTATACAAACGAAGCATGGCTTCACTGGACACCTGACCTTAAATCCCTGTTCATGGATGTGACTATATTTCGTAGGTGATTTAAGTAACATGTGAATGTTAAAAAAGAAAGATGAGAACACTCTGGTTTCTCGCACAAAAAATTTGAAATTTCTGACATCGCTATGCAGCCATCAATTCGCCATGAGGCAATCCACTGAAATTAATTTACATACATTGAAACATAGTTATGATTGAAATCAGTGCTCTGACTGCTCTCACAATCAAATTTTCGAATTCCTTAGAAAGAGCTTGAAAATTCCTCAGATTTCCTTAAAATGGTTGAAAATTCCTCAGATTTCCTTAAAAATTCCTCAGATTTTTTGAAAATTCCTCAGATTTCCTTAAAAGGCTTGGTCATATAAGTTTAAAGCTGGATAAGCATGGGATAACTATCAACCAATCGGAGACGAATTCTAAATTTATAACATAATTCATGCTACTGTCTTCGCAGAGGTCCGCAGCGATATGTGTCAATACAGTATACCCAAATTTGAAGGAGATCCAGATAACCAAATACCCAAAATTAAAGTCTCAACAAGATACCAAATAACAGTTTGCTGCTAAAATTTTGCATTTGGGTGCTTGTGTTCGAGTATAGATGATTTAGTGATCACACATAGGTACGGTTACACATAGGTAGGGTTACACATATGGGTTACCCCAACACTAACGGGCGAAATAGCCCTGGCAGTTGAGTTAAGCTACCTCGCTGTTTTTTAACCAGCTTGCTGTGGTAACGGAGGTAAACCCTACATAAAACTCAGTAACACATTAATAGCAACAATAAGTAGAATAACGACTTTTTAATATATTTGTTTTTGTTCAAGCTAATAGTGACAATAACAACTTTTTAATTACTTAATTGGATTAAAGTAAAGCAATGGCATGTATCATGTATGTGTTGTAAAAAGACTAAAAATGGCTAAAACTGGGAACCCTATAGCTTATTTCCTAACCTTCTTTGAAGAGAGAATAAAAAAATATGTCAATATAGTCAAAAATAAGCCAATCGCATTGCAGATATTTCGACCAGTGAAAATCGCACTATTGTTGCATCATGTTATTTCTACACATGTTGTGATCTGAGAAGTATTGTCCCATAAACGAGCTTCAAAAACCGTTTTGATTGGTCGACAGCCTGCCGGAATGATTTGATACTCACCTGCTAGATTTGATACTCACCTGCTAGATTTGATACCCACCTGCGATAAGCAATCTCATTGGCTAATGACAGTTTTATTTGGCTTTTTTGGTAATTTTTACTCAAAACGTCTGGAAATTTTGGTCAGAGTTCAAAGTTAATGAGATTCAAAATGGCATCAGTGGCGGTTTACCTCAAAATCATGTTGTAACTTATAATATTTCATCGTTCCAAATCATTATCAAGTCTTTCGTTAAAGGGTATTGGCAATACAATTTTTTATTGCTTTATCTGAAAGAGCATGAAAAAATAAGCCGATTGGCTGTTTACTGCTCTATTCTATCTCATCTGGTTCCGAAGTTATACGCAAAAATGTGTTAAATATAAATTGCTGATTCAGCACAATGTGTGACATTAGTTGGGTAAGTATGTTTATTGAATAGTAAACTGAAGCATAGCTCAGTTATTATTGGCTGAAATCAAATGAAATTTTGCATACAGATAGTAAATGATGAGACGCATGGGAAAATACTTATAATTTTGTTGTCAAGGCAACACAGTCATTCCCAGGCCCCTTACACTGATTTTGAATAACTTGTTGCATTTATCTATGTGTATGTCATTTTCGAATTATTATCATGCAAGTAAACGATTGGCATGCATAGGTATGGTACACATACTTCTGATATTATTTAATCCTTATCAGTACCATGAATAAAGCTGTTTTATAAAATTGGCGCAAGGGGCCTGGGAATGACATTGTTACCTTGGCAACAAAATTAGAAGTGTTTTTCAATGCGTCTCATCATGTACAATCAGTAAAATTTCATTTGATTTGGGCCCATGATAACCGAGCTATGCTTCAGTTTAGTATTCATTAAACATACTTACCCAACTAATGACGTCACACGTTGTGCTGAATCAGCAATTTATATGTTACACATTTTTGTGTATAACTTCGGAACCAGATGAGATAGAATAGAGCAGTAAACGGCCAATCGGCTTATTTTTTCATGCTCTTTAAGATAAAGCAATAATTATTGCCAATACCTTTAAGATGGACAACCTTCCTAGTTGTGAATTTACGTCTGGAGAAGTTTCCCAGTGGCTGGAGTCCAACGGCTTTGCAGAATTCAGTGGGAAATTCTTAGGTGAGCTTCATGTTTCATATTCAAAGACTGCAAAGATACTGTGTACTAATATATTTGTTGTTGTGATTTCGGGTCGATATATTTATTATATGTGTTAAAAGATTGATACATGTTTTATTTTTACTTTGTTATCATATTATAGTTGAGGATGTTGATGGGGAAGCATTTTCTTTGTTGCCTGAAGGATCACTTGAAACTCTTGTTGACAAAGTGGGGCCCAGAACCAAGCTTTTCAATCGAGTTATCAAATGAATGCAAAAAAATCTCGGTGATAGTGATGTTTCTGAGACTAGTGGCGGTAGTCCTTGGACTTCAGAATCACCTGACACCAGCAGTGTGATGTCAGAGAACCAAACTTTGCTGCAATATTCTTCGCCAACATCGAGGTATGTGTTTAGATTTATATCTGTCTATTAGCTCAAAGCTGAGGTGACTTTTACAATCCTCCCATGATTTTTAGTCATTTAGTGCCAAGAAGTTAATAGTAAATTGTGAACATATCTTCAAGATATTAGATTTTGCTGTATAATTCTTAAGGCTCTCACTGTCCAGGGTAAAATATGAAAATTGTTTATTACAGTAATATAAAATGCTTGTAACTATTGGTGGGTTTTTATGCTCATTAAAAGCAATTATATGCATAGTGGCCCTCACATGGGAAAAACCATGTAAAAACAAATATTTACTACTGAAATTGATCAGTAAAGTGTTTATAACAGTGTGACTTGGAATCATAGAAATAATAGACATAGAATGCGTGCTCCTATCTCTTCTCAGTAAAAATTTTGTCTCCACAAAATGGCGGATTTATAAAGGCATTTTGGCTAGTCCCAGACTCTTGTGGCGGGGAATTTCACGTGGTTGCCGGGAGTGCGAATTGTTTTTTTCAACAAAGTTTGCAAAAAACAATTATATTGAGACTTGAAGTGGAAAAACATTTTTTTAAAGGAGAAAAACCCATTCCCGTGGGTGTTTTTACGAAAAGCAATAGTTCTGAACAGAATATATACAGAAATCGTCGTTTGAAAATACATTGTGAGCCAAAACAATCGACCAAGCACTATTAACCCGAGTTTAGGAAGCCGAGATTGGCGGGAACTATTTCATTATTCATTTCCATTATTTATTTCACAATCAATTCAGTTTTTGTTGATGAACAGTGAATAATAAGTCTGTAAAAATGCTGAAAAAATGTAGTCAGGGTTCGTTAAAAAATATAGGAATACTGTGGAGAATCTGGAGGGGAGGGGGGGGGGGTTTGGGGGTGGTCAAAGGATTTTACTGAACAAGAGCGTTAACTCGCTGGGGCCATAGAGCTGGGGCTATACAAATACGCACATTACTGTATATGATACATACAGTACTAAGCGGAAAAGTCGAATACGAGCGCGAAAGGCACCCTACAAATAAAACTTCCGGCATTTATGCCCACAAGTAAAGTTATATTTTATAGTAGATATAGTACGCTACATTCTTCTGTCGGCTGCCAGTTTAAAACGTTCAAAATAAAATATTTTGGGGCTTTTGGGCTCAAAATATTATCAAAATGAAGAGAGAAGTGACACAAATCCACTGGTATACGGCCGAAAAAGAGAAAACCAACGATACCAAAGTTATCAAGGATCAAACGTACTGCATTTTTTATAATTTGAGCGTTTCTCCACAAATAATACAATTTCGCTTGGCTTTCAAAGACAAAGGCCATAAATCGCTAGAATACTGTTGTCAGTTGTTTAGTAATACATTTGACATCCATATGTACAATTTCTCATTCTTAAGTACAATTCCTTACGCTGAATCGAACCGTGGTATTTTTATCCTTATTGAGCCATTTATAGGCATTACAAATACAAGGTCGGACAAACGGCGAGTGATTTGCAAACAAATACGTACTGCGAGCGATTTTTCAACAATACAATTTCGCTTGATTTTCAAAGGCCATAAATCGCTAGAATACTGGTGTTTAGTAATACATTTGGCATCAGTAAGTACAATTTCTTACGCTGAATCGGACGGTGGTATTTTTATCCTTATTGTGCCATTAGGCATTTAATACAAATACAATAATAACAATATCATATTTCACACTACAGTTTTCATGGACTGTTGTTCGATAAATTTTATATTGATATGACACCAATATGCCTCTCATAAAGTAGTTATTTATTAAAACTATGTTGTGCAGTTTAAGTTATAACCTTTTACCTTGAAATTGTCTATGACTCGTTTATATTCAGATTCAGTATATTATGATTGTGCATTTGTGCACGGCCAAGCACAGGAATTCAACGATCCAAATTTCGGATTTTCAGAGTCATGCACCAAGAAAAATGCATTAAATTAAATAAACTAGCAAGAATATCCAGAGTTTAGACACAATGCAAAATCCATAGAAAACAGGTACAATTCGTTCAAAATTTTCACGAAATTGTTTGAAACATTTTGCCCACTCCACGAAAGGCCCCGCCATTTTGAAAAGGATCAAGCAGCTCATTAATATTCTATTTTGTTGCTATCGACGATCGGAGATTGAAGCCAAAACCTATACTCGCCTGGGCACAAGTGCCCCAGCGAGTAATTATTCGAATTTTACTGTTAAAAAATCACTTGAACTGTAGAAGTCGTAAGTTGCAATGACCTTTCAATGCCTGAAGGTCCTCTCCCCAAAATATTAATTTTTGAAGCTTGATTACTGCTTTTCTTGCATTTTCTGTAGCGATCGAGAAAAAAAACTACCAATTTTAAGGGCATATATTCGGAAACTTTGCATTAAATTCGTAATTGCACACTTATATTTTAGAATGGTCATATAGTCAATGGATTTAGAACTTCACATTTTATGTAAAGTTTCCACAATGATAATAATGACTGAACTCGAGCACATTTTTCCATGCACAGTCAAGAATTCAAACCCCAAAAATCTGGTGCCTCGCAAGTGGTCCACAAGAGTGGTCCACGGGAGTGGTCTGTGGTCCACGAAGGTAGTCCACGGACCTGGGGTCCGCGTTTTGTCGTTTCCCTTTTTAATATTGTTTCTAGTCCTATATTAATAATTCATGAATATAAATATCCATAGTTAGTCTGTCTACATTAATCATACCACTGTGTTTTGTCAATGATAATTCATGCTGATGTATTAAAACATTGGATACAAACAAGGAAGGGCCCACTGACACTGGAAATTTTGAATGTCCGGTATCCAGTGAGTAGTTGCTTAGAGGGTTATCTCTAAAAGGGATGGACGATCTGAGGTAGTTTACGAGACGATTCCAAAATTGAAATAAGAATTTCCATTAGTATTAGGGTTAGTGTGGGGGTTAGGGTTAGATGTGGGGAGAGAGTAAGGTTTAGTATTGTTGCAAGTGGCTGATTTTTTATTCTTTTACGTTTTAATTAATGATTTTAAAAACTGGCGATTGATATTGAAAACCTGCCTCTGGTCCATCCCCTTTGGCCACGACCCAGAGCCACAATTTTTGCATTTTGTATCTTCCACATGTACTTCCTTCTTTTGTCTTCCACTACCTACATTGGCAACCAGTTTTCATTATTTTTTAATGAACTTAGATATAATAAAGTAATATAGCTAAATTATTTCCCTAATTCACAGTCTCGGCTGAAAGCAAAAGGATACGAAGATTTCACCCTGAAAGAACTGATCAACAAACTAAAAAAGTTAAGGCAGAAGTACAAAGAAGAAAAAGATAAGTCAAAGCAAACGGGAAATGCCGCATCGAAAAAATGGAAGTTTTTTTATGAAATTGACATTTTTTTGACCCAGCGACACAATGTCAATCCACCGGTAGTTGTTGACACAATGGCCAGTGATGAACTACATGTGCATGAGGTTGATGACAAGCAACCAAGTGAGTCAGGAGATAACAGTTCAAGCGAAGGTACATTATGCACAATAGTATATTACTTAGTGGATTTATGTCCAATACCCTCGACCTTGTTCGAATCGTGAATCGTAAGGGCGATCGTTAGATTCGTGAGTCTTATAGTTATATGATAGGATATGACTTGTCCTTTGGCTTGTTGTGGATATGTCTAAGACTATAAGTCATATAGTATCAATCTAGGTGAATGTCTTCGTAGATTCGTACAAATCTTTAGAATCGATTCGTGATTGGTCCCAGATTTGTTCGAATGGTCAGATTCGTGAAGTTCATAGTATCAAATGGGTTCGTAGTTCGCTCAAAGTGAATGTCTTCGTAAATTCGTACGAATCGTACGAACCGTTCGATTCGTGAATGCATTCAGAATCGTTCGAATGGCTACATTCGAATGGCTACATTCGCAAGGTTCATAGTATCAATGTAGGTGAATGTCTTCGCAGATTCATACGATTCGTACAAATCGTTTGAACCGTTTGATTCGTGAATGCTTTCAGAATCGTTCGAATTGTTAGTTTTGTAAGCTTCATAGTATCAGTGTAGGTGAATGCCTTCGCAGATTTGTACGAATCGTTCGAACCGTTCGATTCGTGAATGCTTTCAGAATCGTTCGAATTGTTAGTTTCGTAAGCTTCATAGTATCAATGTAGGTGAATAATGTCTTCGTAGATTCGTACGATTCGTACGAATCGTTCGAACTGTTCGATTCGTCATTGGTCCCAGAATCGTTCGAATGGTCAGATTCGTCAGGTTCATAGTACCAAACGGGTTCGTAGTTCGCTCTAGGTGAATATCTTCCGAATGGTCAAGTTCGTGAGTTTCATAGTATCAATGTAGGTGAATGTCTTCGTAGATTCGTTCGAACCGTTCGATTCGTCATTGGTCCCAGAATCGTTTGAATTGTCAGATTCGTCAGGTTCATAGTATCAAACGGGTTCGTAGTTCGCTCTAGGTGAGTAGATTCGTACGAATCGTACGAACCGTTCGATTCGTGAATGCTTTCAGATTCGTTCGAATGGTCAGGTTCGTCAGTTTCATAGTATCAATGTAGCTGAATGTCTTCGTAGATTCGTACAATTCATACGAATCGTACGAACCGTTCGATTCGTGATTAGTCCCAGATTCGTTCGAATGGTCAGGTTTGTCAGGTTCATAGTATCTATGTAGCTGCATGTCTTCGTAGATTCGTACGAATCGTTCGAACCGTTCGATTCGCCATTCGTCCCAGAATCGTTCGAATGTTCAGATTCGTCAGGTCCATAGTATCAAACGGGTTCGTAGTTCGCTCTAGGTGAATATCTTCGTAGATTCGTACGATTCGTATGAACTGTTCGATTTGCGAATGCTTTCAGATTCGTTCGAATGCTCAGGTTCGTGAGTTTCATAGTATCAATGTAGCTGAATGTCTTCGTACGATTCGTTCGAACCGTTCGATTCGTCATTGGTCCCAGAATCGTTCGAATGGTCAGATTCGTCAGGTTCATAGTATCAAACAGGTTCATAGTTCGCTCTAGGTGAATATCTTCGTAGATTTGTACAATTCGTACGAATTGTACGAACCGTTCGATTCGTGAATTCTTTCAGATTCGTTCGAATGGTCAGGTTCGTGAGTTTCATAGTATCAATGTTGGTGAACATCTTCGTAGATTCGTACGAATCGTTCGATTCGTGAATGCTTTCAGATTCGTTCGAATGGTCAAGTTCGTGAGTTTCATAGTATCAATGTAGGTGAATATCTTCGTAGATTCGTGCGAATCGTACGAACCATTCGATTCGTGAATGCTTTCAGATTCGTTCGAATGGTCAGGTTCGTGAGTTTCATAGTATCAATGTAGCTGAATGTCTTCGTGGATTCGTACGATTCGTAGGAACCGTTCGATTCGTCAATGCTTTCAGATTCGTTCGAATGGACAGATTCGTCAGGTTCATAGTATCAATGTAGGTGAATATCTTCGCAGATTCATACGACTCGTACGATTCGTAAATGCTTTCAGAATCGTTCGAATGGTCAGGCTCATGAGGCTCGTAGTATCAAATGGGTTCGTAATTCGCTCTAAGTGAATGTCTTCGTAGATTCGTACAATTCGTACGAGTCGTACGAACCGTTCGATTCGTGATTAGTCCCAGATTCGTTCGAATGGTCAGGTTTGTCAGGTTCATAGTATCTATGTAGCTGCATATCTTCGTAGATTCGTACGATTCCTACGAATCGTTCGAACCGTTTGATTCGTCATTCGTCCCAGAATCGTTCGAATGTTCAGATTCGTCAGGTTCATAGTATCAAATGAGTTCGTAGTTCGCTCTAGGTGAATATCTTCGTAGATTTGTACGATTCGTACGAACCGTTCGATTTGTGATTAGTCCCAGATTCGTTCGAATGCTCAGGTTTGTGAGTTTCATAGTATCAATGTAGCTGAATGGATTCGTACGAATCGTTCGAACCGTACGATTCATGAGTGGTCCCAGATTTGTTCGAATGGTCAGATTTGTGAGGTTCATAGTATCAAACGGGTTCGTAGTTCGCTCTAAATGAATGTCTTCGTGGATTTGTGCGATTCGTACGAACCGTTCGATTCGTCAATGCTTTCAGATTCGTTCGAATGGACAGATTCGTGAGGCTCATAGTATCAATGTAGGCGAATATCTTCGTAGATTCGTACGAACCGTTCCATTCGTGAATGCTTTCAGATTCGTTCGAATGGTCAGGTTCGTGAGTTTCATAGTATCAATATTGCTGAATGTCTTCGTAGATTCGTACGATTCGTATGAATCGTTCGAACCGTACGATTCGTGAGTGGTCCCAGATTTGTTCGAATGGTCAGATTCGTGAGGTTCATAGTATCAAACAGGTTCGTAGTTCGCTCTAAGTGAATGTCTTCGTGGATTCGTATGATTCGTACGAACCGTTCGATTCGTGAATGCTTTCAGATTCGTTCGAATGGTCAGGTTCGTCAGTTTCATAGTATCAATGTAGCTGAATGTCTTCGTACGATTCGTACGAATCGTTCGAACCGTCATTGGTCCCAGAATCATTCGAATGGCCAGATTCGTCAGGTTCATAGTATCAAACGGGTTCGTAGTTCGCTCTAGGTGAATATCTTCGTAGATTGGTCAGTTTGTATGTTGCACGGGCATTCAACAGCTAAAATGTATTTTTATTCAACAAGGTGACATTAAAGTTCATGCGTTTTGCAAAATCGCGCAAATTGTGTCGCACAAAATAAAAAGTTTGAAAGAATAATTAGCGCAAAATTATATGCTGGTCCACTTGTGCGTGCGAAATAGTGCGAAATGGTTTCCCACTGACAACATAAAAATGTCAAACAAATTGGAATCGAAAGACAAGCAGTTTACTAATAATTCAATAATATAAATATAACATGTTTGCTTACTGGCCATTAGGTTCGTTAATTGTTGCATCGGAATAAAGAATCAAATTATCTCATGCTACAAGCTATAACGATCCTGAGGGTACTTCTGGAATAATATTTGCACTGATGTGAGTGAATTGGGAAGAACGAATTTCAATAAAATAATAAAGAAAACCCTTTTAACAATACTTGAGCTTGAGGATGATTATGTTGATGTACCCACAATAGTTCAACAAATTGTCAAGCATTGAAAATAATTCTAAGATTCTCATGATATAGTTGTTATAGTATAGTATTCAAGAAATTATTAAGTGGTTGTTATATATGCGAAATATTAGATATTTAGTATATAATTCAATGCCAAAAGCATACTTTTATTAAGATCAGTTATTCATGTAACACCTTACATTGTTACATTAATAATAAATATAATGAGCATATAATTTTGATTTGTATAACTATATACACGCCTCGATTAGCTTTGCTATTTTGCGTGTTGGTACTGTATGTTATTTATGTTTAAATTTAATAAAATTGTGAAACCATGTGAAGAACGAATTCCTTGACCATAGCTGGAAACGAGTATCTTGAAATGAATAAAATTGCAATTCTTAAAACTGCAATATTATTCAGTAAAATGGGCAAGATGTCTGCTCAGGCGTTCACTGCCTCCAGAGACGGCACAGGCATATATGTCCAGTTGATAGGCATCTATTATCGGATCGTTACGATCCGTAACTTTCAATACAGACGGTCTTGCGGCATATGCGTTAACACTCCCTTTTATATCAGACATTATACAACCATCCCTCGTTCTTTACATTAACATGATTACAACTATCCCTCGTTCTTTAACAAACACTATATTAACTATAAAACATACATTTTGATTATATCAGACATTAACATGATTACAACAATCCCTCGTTCTTTAAGAAACACTACATACGATCCCTCGTTATCCCTGTAGAGCTATATAGTCAAACGTGATTCGTAATACAGTACATGTATATAATATACTCTGCGGAAGCTGAGTATATATTACACATGTATTACGCATTTACCTGCACTCTTGAGTGTGAGCGACCTTTTATAATACATGCGTATCGCGTTACATGATGTATCATATATGCTTTTATAATGTAAAATGTATTTGTCATTTATCACCTATAAGATCATGCATCAACAAGTGTTGATTCTCGCGAGAAACGCCACCATGATCTGCGCGATATAGCCAATTATTACCACAGGAGTTCTAAGCTAGCAATTAATAATGCAAATCCTGTTTTTCAATATGTACTTTCTAATTTTTTTGTATGTATTTCAAATCTAGTTTGACACTTGAATATTTCAAGCCATTTTGCAGATTAACTGTTAATATTATGATAATTTTAGATTACGCATGGTATGTTGTTACGCTGTGTTGTCATACGATATCTAAAATTCAGATACTATACGCTCTGTTATAAACTTATTATTATTAATACTGTTCTCGTGACCTATATAACCTGAACTAAAAAATAGTCCAAACAGATAAGTTTCTGCTTGTAAATGTAAAACGATGATATAAAATATCAAACAAATTACCATACATGAAAATAACAAATAAAGATGACTTTATATATTAAGGTGGACTTGAATGACGCGTGGTTTCTTGCACTTCACTTGGTGGAATTAATATTAGAATGTTAGGGTTTGTAATTCAAGTGATTATATACATTTTAAGACCTGACCAGGAACGACTGCGAAAAATGCAGCACAAGGCCCTCTGGTAGGAATTGAACCTACGACCCTGCGATTTCGGTGCAGGGCGTAGGTTCAATTCCTACCAGAGGACCTTGTGCTGCATTTTTCGCAGTCGTTCCTGGTCAGGTTTTAAAATGTATATAATCACTTGGATTACAAACCCTTTATATATTAACCCAACAATGATACCAGTGCCGCAAATGCATGCATGTTTACTTTTAAAGAACATGGGAAGCCGAG